CACTGTATTATAAATAAACAGTTAAAAAAAACACCAAACAAATCTGTTGCATCTCCTTTTAAGATTGTACCACTGTAGACACTTGTTCTAGTAAAGTAGAATTGGGCGCATTTGATTGCATTTAAATTTTTCATGCTTCAGCAGTTTGGCTGGGAGCACAGTAAAGAAAAATCCCATGAGCGAGGATAGTTTAGAATAATAGAACTTGATTTTGTGTATTATAGCGGCAACATTTGCGCTGCTTTAGTTAGGGTTGTGTCAGCACTTCCATTATAAACCCCTGTTTTCAGGGGGTATAACTAGGGAGATTTTTTTTTTTTTTTAATACAAATTAAAAAAACAATTCATTTGAATGATTTTTAAGTTATAATGGTGCAAAAATAAAACAAAGTGAAGTCACATAAGAATTGACCATTTTCACATGGATTTTGATTTTTTATTTTGCTTGTTAGTTATATGTGGCAGCAGCTAAAATACTATTCAGATATACTGAGGGTAAAAATTTTCGTAGTGGCAAACTACTGAAATTACATTAGAAATAAGACTCTGCATTCCACATTACTTTTTTTTGAACAATAAAACAAGTGTATATTTGATTTATGAGTTTGCAAATGATAATACCTATGTTGCAATGGTCATAGTACAGACCTTACCAGAAGTCACATGTCTTTGTGGTTTCTAGAGTATAGTTTAGTTGGTTTGGTAAAATGTTCCAAAAGAGAAAGTTCAAGAAATGAAATATAGCTACACTCAGTAAATACACAGAGTTTTTAATAAAGTAATTATTTAAGACAAATCAATTAATCTAATCTAATAAAAATATATATATACAGGCTTATTTCATAAACTATGCATTAGAAATAATTTGTGTACATTGCCCTTTTTAAACAAAAACAAAACCACCATGATAACAATAACAAAATACAAAACCAATGGACAACACAAACCTGAAACAAGTTCAATGATTTTATCAAAAAGAAATGCTCTCAGTGGTGTAACACCTCTTTAAAAGAACAAAAATTTTGTCTTTAATATTTTTGACAAGTGTATTAGAAGTGAATTCAATAAATTAAATATAAGGAAAATGTATCCTTTGAACAAACAAATATCTATTCCTTAGCTGAAGAGAGAAATTTCAAAGTTAAGTTTGCATGTCTTCCTCCCTTAGCTGTTAGCCAGTATTATCCCTACCTTCTGAGCATCTTGTCCCCTAATGATGCTATGAGCTGAGGATGAGCAGTCAGGTTTGGTATTGATATCTTTTGACAGCCTTTCTTTTATAGGCAACCTTAATACACATTTGTATTTGTAGATGCCAAACAAAAGACAAATTGTGTGATTCCAAATTCAGCTTTCCTGAATGGTCACTGGAGGAATCACCAGAAGACTGTTGATGAACTGAAGGTGAGGCCCTTCCTCACTAATTGTATTCAGTGTGTAATTTCTAAACTTCCCTCTGAATTTTGATTTTCAATTAACACTCCCCATTTGAAGATAATTTTCTATTTAATGTAATTGCAGGAAATAATTTATTGGCTGATTAAGACTGAGGGCCCAGCCTTCCTTAAGAAAACACTCTAACAAACCAGCCTTTAAACTCAACTCAGAGCTTTTGGACAGATTTAGTCTATTTTTACAGCTGCACGTTTGTGTTTAATTAGGATTGTGCACTATTGTTCATTGGTGCAGTTTATCATTGAAATTATTCTTAGGAGACTGTTTTCATTTTGGGTTTTGTGTCATAACTAATTTATACCCATGAAACAATCACATATATTGCTATTGGAAGAGCAATTCACTTAATAATAAGAGGATGTCTGTTGGTGAGCTAAAGTCAATGTTTTGGATTATGACTTTCAATTGTATTTAACTGTTTTAAAAACAGCAGTAAATTCATGCTTTTGTTTTTAATGTAAATGATTACATTATCGGGACTATCATTATATGAACTATAAAAACATTCTTGCTGTTTATGGCAAGCTCTTGATGAATTTGCAGAACAGTTATTTTTCAGTTATAATTTGCCTGGTCTTACTACTGTTGTTGTTAAGTGCCATTGAGTCAGTTCTGACTCATAACGACATTGTCTAGGGTTTCCAAAGAGCAGCTGGTGGGTTTGAACCACCAACCTTGTGGTTAGCAGCCTGGTGCTGATCTTTTGCACCACACCAGGACTCTGGACTTAACTACTAGGGGGCTTCAAGAAGTTTATGGAACAACGAAATTTCAAAGATAATGGAATTTTTGTATAGTACCTATGAAGTAGGACTTCTGGTGTAGTGCTGTAGGATCAGCACTGGGTTTTGAACTACAAGGTTGGCAGTTCAAATCCACTAGCTGCTGATGTTATATATATATATAACATCTTTTGACTGCCTTTCTTTTATTGCTGCCAGATATATATATATATGGTAGCATGGTGGTTATGAGTTGGGCTGCTAACCTCAAGGTCAACAGTTCGAAACTACCAACTGTTCCACAGGAGAAAGATGAGGCTTTCTGCTCCGGTAAAGATTTATAGCCCCAGAAACCCTATACAGGGTCACTGTGAGTTGGAACCGGCTCCACAGTACATACCCAACCAACTATATATTTTAATATTAGAGACCTGGTGTGGCACTGTAGGATAAACATCCAGGAACCCTATACAGGGTCTTTATGATTTGGAACCTACTTGATGGCACTTAACAGCAACAACAATGTATGTATATTTATCCATTTGTTGTTATTAATAAAAATTGGTAAAAATGTCTAATTCTTTGATATCATACTCTTTAGAACAATTTATTTCTTTTTAAAAAATTACAAACATTCTTCTGCAATCTCTTTAAACTATTTTATTTCTACTATCAAATCAAATAGATGAAATTTTCATTATTTTTAGAATGATTATTATAAATAGGTATCAGCATTTTAATATGTTTCAAAGCACTTCAAAAGCCTGTAATACTTTTATTTAGAACTGTGCATAATTAGATTAACTGATCTTATATTAATTTTTTTCACTGTAAGATACTAAATCTGAGCCCCCTCATTAATTGTGAGAAATTTAGCATTAGCTGTTAAATCCTATGTGAAACATGGGCTGCTACAGAAAAACTACTGTTTAAATTGGAATTAACTTAATTATTTTTCTTTGCACTTGATATTTCCTTCACTGCAATATTCATGAAAGCATGTGACAGATTTGTAAATTTAACTGTTAATCTCAGATTTCTAGACCCTTTAATCAGTATTTATTTGTCTGTAGAAACAGTACTAGCAAGTTAATGATTTGCTAATTTGAAAAATGCTCATGTGGTTTCCTATGTTAACTGATTTGTGCATTTTTAAAAAATGGTATGAAATCAATTAATGTTAAAGAGCAATTAAGGTGGAGATTTTATTCCTTTCGTTACACAGCAGTTTTAGAGCTAAAGATGCTATAAACCAAAAACAACTAAAGTTTTGAAAAAAGAAATAAACCATTGCCTCTTCTTTTGAGGTATATACTTTAAGAGGTTTTATTTGTCATCCTATTAGTAAGAAAATCTTCTTGATACAATGATATTCTTTCTAAAAGTTTTGAAATTTCTTTTATAGGGAAATAGACATGATTTTATGCTTTTATAGGGAAATAGA